GCCTTGCCTTCTAGTCAAAGACTTCCACCATACATGTAGCCCAGCCTAGCTTCCCAGTCTCACCTACTCTTCCTTCTCAACAAAACCTAGCCTATGTAAAAAGATGTTTGATAGGCATATTGTTGGTCACTTTTCTATTCAAACTTTTCTGTTCCATTGTAATTCTTGGCTTACATGACCTTTGACTCTCATCCCCTTCCCCACCCCCAAACCTTTAACTATTTCTTATCTGTCCTCCTTTTGCTTTCATCTCCTCTTGGGTTGCCTCTGAAACCATTGCAATAGCTTCATCCATCACCTCTATGCATTCCATTCTCATGTCCTCCCCACTGGACCTGAGCTCTCTACAGGCCCAGAAATGTAATCTTCATAGTCTTCCACATGGCTGTTTCCACTAGGTATGCCTCCATTGATACACCTCAAAGATAGCATTTTACATATTTAAACCCATATTCTTTATGGGTTTAAAAATCCATATAAAACCGGCTCCTCTTTGTTCATTCTTTATCTCTGTTATTGGCAGAATAATCCATGAAGACATCTAAAGTCAAAACGTTATCTTTGATTCTTCTGCTGATATGGTATTAAACATTGAAAATGTCCTTGATTTCATCTTCACTGAATTAGTTTGAGGGTCCCAACACATAGTCTCGTACAGGACAACTTCTGTCTACCTTGAGAAATGGATTCTCCCATCAAATCTTTCTGTGATGTAAATTCTTATCCTTCCCTCTCACTATGCTCCTGAGTTTCTCTCATCTCTCTGTGCTCCTCTCCTTTCTTCTAAACTCGTTCTAGACAAAAGTATACAAATCAACACATCTGATTTCTTTTATTTCACCATCACCCTACTTTTCTTCTCTTGCATTTTTCTAGAGGCAACATGTGCAATGGAAAGAATATGAGTTTTGGAATCAGCCTGAATACAGATGTGCTCTGTCAATTATTAACTTGTGCTCTACTATGTTAATAAACATCTCTGAAGCTCAGCCGCCTTATCTGTAAAGTGGACATAGTATCACCTTCCTCACAGGACTTATGAGAGGATGTAATGATATAAGGAATGTTGATGTTCAGGCTCTACCACCCAGCAGCTCTCAAACCCTTCCTACTCATTTTCATTAGGAGACGGGAGGAAAGACCTGTGCCCCGTTCTCCATCTTCTATCTCAAAGGCTCTGGGTCATATTTACTGAGTATCTCAGGCAGCAGCTCATTATTCTTCTCACCTTCACGATCAGTGGCTGCTACATCTTTACGAGAATTCATCTCCGAAACAGCTGACTCAGTGCTGGAAAAGGAAGGCATTTTTTTCCTATTTAAAATGAGGAATCTAAAGTCCACAGAAATTACATGGTTGGTCCAAAGTACATACTTAAAAAATAATTTGGAGAAATTATCCTTAGGAAATATGTCCTTGGACATAATAAGGTGCTTTTATATTAGCTCTCAGAGAAAAAGTTGATTTCCATTTATCTGTTTGTACTTTTCAATTCAGTTAATGATTAGGGTTTGAAAGTTGTCCTAAGAATATGTGAGAAGACCTTCGATAGGGTCTACTCCATCATCCTTTTATCAGGCAGAAGCAACTCTCCATTTCTTCCTATTCTAAGAATAATCTAGATGGAACCTACCTATATCTCCTTGCATGGGCCATTCCAGCATTAAACTTTACCTACTTTAAAGACCTTTAAAAACAATTCTCCCTTGAATGAAGATGGAGGGCAATGACTTTCTGTGTGGCACAATGACTTTCTTAGTGTCAGACAGAACTGAATTCAGATTTCACCTTTGCCCTTTGCTACTTATCAGCTGTGTAACCTTGAACAAGTTACTGAACATTTTTAAAGCAGATATTTTAATACCTACTCATAAGTTTACTCTGCACATTAAATTAGGTCCTACTTGTAAAGAATTTCACAGAATCTGGCTGCTAATCAGTGTTCAATCCACAGCAGTGAGTGCATACTAACCACATGTTCCTTCCAGGGAATAGGTTTCATATGAATTACAGTCAGGGGAATTTAAACTGCATAAACAAACAAATGATAGCCAAATAGTTGTGTGCAGTTACAACATATGATAATCTCTGAATAGTGATGACCACTTTTTTTTCTTTTCTCATTTTATTTCCGGCTTGTAATATTGTCCTAATCTTTATTTGTCAAAGAATTTAAATGATTTGGAGAAGATATAAAGCATCTACTTCTCTTTCTCCTCTCATTAAATCTTAATTACAGGAAAAAGGAATAATTTGTGCAGGTGTCCTCATTCGGTTGTTTTCTTGATTTACATAAAAATGATCTCCCATCCTCTTCCCCTCTTTTCCCAAATAAGGAGGACAATGAAGATCTGAAATGCCAGCTGCAGTTCGTGAAGGAAGAAGCTGCTTTGATGCGAAAGAAAATGGCCAAGATTGATAAAGAAAAGGACAGATTCGAACACGAGCTCCAGAAGTACAGATCCTTTTACGGGGATCTGGACAGTCCTTTGCCCAAAGGGGAAGCTGGGGGGCCTCCCAGCACCAGGGAAGCTGAGCTCAAGCTACGGCTGAGGCTGGTGGAGGAAGAAGCCAACATTCTAGGCAGGAAAATCGTCGAACTGGAGGTGGAGAACAGAGGCCTGAAAGCGGAACTGGACGACCTGAGGGGCGATGACTTCAACGGCTCCGCCAACCCCCTCATGAGGGAGCAGAGCGAATCCCTGTCGGAGCTGCGGCAGCACCTGCAGCTGGTGGAAGACGAGACCGAGCTGCTGCGGAGGAACGTGGCCGACCTGGAGGAGCAGAACAAGCGCATCACGACGGAGCTCAACAAGTACAAGTACAAGTCCGGCGGCCACGATAGCGCGCGGCACCACGACAGCGCCAAGACAGAGGCCCTGCAGGAGGAGCTGAAGGCGGCGCGCCTGCAGATCAACGAACTGAGTGGCAAGGTCATGCAGCTGCAGTACGAGAACCGCGTGCTCATGTCCAACATGCAGCGCTACGACCTGGCCTCGCACCTGGGCATCCGCGGCAGCCCTCGCGACAGCGACGCCGAGAGTGACGCGGGCAAGAAGGAGAGCGACGACGACTCGCGGCCGCCGCACCGCAAGCGCGAAGGGCCCATCGGAGGCGAGAGCGACTCGGAGGAGGTGCGCAACATCCGCTGCCTCACGCCCACCCGCTCCTTCTACCCTGCGCCCGGGCCCTGGCCCAAGAGCTTCTCCGACCGCCAGCAGATGAAGGACATCCGCTCGGAGGCCGAGCGCCTGGGCAAGACTATCGACCGGCTCATCGCCGACACGAGCACCATCATCACCGAGGCGCGCATCTACGTGGCCAACGGGGACCTGTTCGGACTCATGGACGAGGAGGACGACGGCAGCCGCATCCGCGAGCACGAGCTGCTCTACCGCATCAACGCGCAGATGAAGGCCTTCCGCAAGGAGCTGCAGACCTTCATCGACCGTCTCGAGGTGCCCAAGTCCGCGGACGACCGCGGCGCCGAGGAGCCCATATCCGTGAGTCAGGTACAGTTTTGCCTATTGCGAGCCACGGTGATGGCAAGGCTGGCCCGCGGAGCTGAGGTCCTCGGTGGGGCGTCTCCGCGCACCGACTTCCACGCTCCGCTTTAGGGACGTCACAGCTCAGAGCCTCACTGGGCTGGAAGCCCCACGGAGCACCTGTTCTTTCTCACTGTCCTTCAGGCCTGAGGTTTTTGTCACTCAATCACTTAGTAGTTATTTCTCCTCTTTTCGAAACAGAAATTTACCCCTCTCACCCCAGTTTTTGTGTAAAGATTAAAGGATTTCTAAGATTTATTATTATTGTAGGTCAACATTTTCAGCATTACTCTACTAATTCTAATAGATCAAGCTGCAAGAAGATCCCGAACAGGAATCTTCAATTGTTGACTTGTGATTTTCGAGCCAAGACTCGAGTTTAAAATAATTTTTAAATATGAAATCAGCAGTAAAGAGAGATGATATTGTGTCTAGAGCCTATCAAAAGGAATAAATGAAAGCCATTTCTTTGCCACAAATTGAAGTAACATGATTATTATTTCTAGAAAATATCTCTATCAGCTTTGTAGTGCAGACTCTCGAGACTACTGAACGAGTGTTATACTTTAGCTTTAAGGCAATACTAATTTGGGAAACCAGCATTTTTCCCTCATCCTAATTTGTAGAGGCACACCCGATGAATTGGACTGAGCTGCTCTAGCCAGGTATGGTGGCCAAAGACCAATGCATTTTATCAAGAGTTAATCACCTAATAGATAATTCGTAAAACGAAACAGGCAGTGCTACCCTCTCTGGCAAGCCTGGTGCCCTGTATCTATTGGAGAACCTGTGGAAGTACAGCAGCATGCATGGCTTTTAAAGACACACAGGAAGTTTAAATTTAAAAAATCAGTTTATACACAGAAGCATGACTGACATTAGATTAGCTGCCTGTTAGTCACAACTAGAAAAATTGCAACCCTATTGCTTATTGATCTTGCATGTTGCTCTGCTTTGCTATGGAAAAAAATATATATTTATGATAAGACTGTTAGATTTTTAAATGTTGGAACTTATTTTCTTCTTTTTATTGTAGCAAATAATTGGTTTTTAGTTTCCTTGTTGCAGCTTTTTGGATACTTAGAGCATGTGATTTTTCAGTTATACTCTCAGGGGAAAAAATAGAATTCAGAGTGAGAGAAAACACTGTGCATAATAAGCTTTCAGATTTGGTAAATAGAGGCTTAAGGAAGAGTTCTGCTTTATCTGAATTTGAATGAATGCTTAGATTAGTTGATATAAATGTAAGTTTTTAAATATTATTATTAATTAACTCTTTTCTTTGTCTTTGCATTTACCTTCCCAGATGTTCCAGCCTATCATTTTACTTATTCTCATTCTTGTATTATTTTCATCACTTTCTTACACAACAATATTTAAACTTGTCTTCCTTTTTACACTGTTTTTTGTACTGTAAATCTCTCATCATTTACCATTCATTATAGTATTTTCAGTTTGTTTATTTTGTTCACCCTTCAAGACAAGAAGTAAAAGAAGTATAATTTCTGTAGTAACCAATGCTATAAAAACACTGAAGACTGCTTATTTCTTTAAAAAGACCCATCTTACAACTATCAAATTCAATAAGAAGCCTAAGCACTAAAATATTTCAGGTAAGGACCTAAGTGTGACTTTTTTTATGTAAATAATTTTAATTTTTGCATCTGTTTTTTACATCTTAATTACTCTTCTTGATAAATAATTGGCAGAATGACTGTAAAAATTGGCTAAACCTCTCAATTATTTCTCAGTAATTGAATATTGTGATAATTCAAAAGCTAGACATTCACAAATTGGGCACATTTCCAAAAATATGTAGGTTTATAAACTACCTTTGCTAAGTTGCATTAGACTAACAAGATATTTTCATATCCAATAAATATCTATGAAAATTTTGGTGAATGAATGAAATGTGACCCTTATGGAAACTAATTAATTAGTTGCATTGATGTTGGTGTTCTGTCTAAAGAGATGTGTTTGGAAGCATGAGAGTTTATTAGGCCTTAGTTCATTGAGAAAATAATTATCCCCATCCTGCATTTGACAAGCTTTGAACCAAAATAGCACTTCTGCATTTACCTATTATACTTGGAGCCATATGTTGCTAATCGAGTTTGTTGCCTGGAGTCCTGTCCTCTATATTACAGGGGTCCCCATCCCCTGGGCCATGGACTGGTATCTTTCTGTGGCCTGTTAGGAACCAGGCCATACAGCAGGAGGTGAGCACCTGGCGAGAGAGCAAAGCTTCATCTATATTTGCAGCTGTCCCCCTGCGCTAACATCACTGCCTCAGCTCCACCTCAGATCATCAGGCATTAGATTCTCAAAGGAACACCAGTCCCCGGTGCCAAAAAGGTTGGGGACCACTGCCTATAATATATTGTCACATGGAACTGTGCTGGAGCAGGAAATATGCTAGAAATAGAGTATGTGAAATGTTTTGAATAGGGAAAACTATAGTCATTCTCTAGAATTTCATTAAATCACAAACCAAAGCCAGTAATATAGTTCAAGTCAGAAGTACTCTCTAGACATAAACTTAGTTTGGCGAACCCGAGTACCCACTTTCTCCTCCTCGCTGAAGTGGCCTGGACAGGCACCATGTACCCAGAAGGCCCTATTTGGTTCATCTCATTGGCAGTTTACCCAGTGGAAAGGTAGAATGCATCAGTGGCACCCAAGATTCATAAATTCAGGCACTCATTGAAGCCGCATACTTGGAAATACTCTGAGTAGTTGGTGGTTATGAAAATCTGTTGGAAAGTGAAGTATCTTGCACGTCAGTATGAAGAATATTATGTGGAGCGTCTTTGTTCTATTCTGTAAGGTGATACTGGTAACAGAATTTATTTTGTGACCTAATGCCCAATGCCTCCATTTCCTTTTGAGTATTAATTTTAAAAAAGAAAAAAAGAAGTACTTAACAGTAGTTTAAAATTCAGTTTAAAATAACTGCTTTTGATCTCCATTTCTTTTTTATCTCTTTGATTTATATTTCATTTTGTTTTGGAGGGGAGGAGAGACCTGGAGTGAGAAGTGGTTAACCAGCAGTTGGAATCTGTCACTACACATTTCTGGCTTCTCATCTTGGAGATTCAGAAGGTTAGGTAGAACTTTATGACAAAAAAGAGTGAAAAAGTTTAAGTGCTATATTTAATTATTTATTCAAGCATTTATTTATTTAAAAATTTTATCTCAAAGAACGAAATTACTTTAAAAAACAAAATCTGTCTGTTAGATCCTTGATAAGTCTCCAGGCCAGCATCTCAGAGGGACCATTTAGGGAAAGGAACTGAAAGGAACTGTTTGAGGGCTGAAATTTATCTGAAATGTTTATTGCCTTTGGAGCCAGATATACCCAGCTAAACAGCTACCTTTGGAGCATTTGATAGTATGTGGAGATGTGGGTTGTCACATGACTGAGAAGCTCTACTGGCATTTAGAGGAAAGGGGTTAGAATTTCAAAGCATTGTCCTGCCCTGTGGGGAAACGTGGTTATATAGTGCACTTGTTTACTTCAGAAGTCTCATGGATACTTACTACCCTGCGTGGCTTTAGGAAGCTTGCTTCAGAATGCTAACCTTCTGTATCATGAGAGGAATCAAGAACTAAATAGTTAAATCACTGGTTCTCAACCCAAGCTGCATATCTGATTTCCCGGGGTGTTTTTAGAATTGAGGCCCTACCTAACACTAATTCCAACTGAATGTATGGACCCAGGCATTTATGTGTTTTAAAACTCCCCAGAACCACAGCTTTAGATGTTTGAATTATCTAAGACATATATATATGCAGCTTATACCAAGGTTACAGTAAACTATGTGATACTAACTTTATAAAATCATCAGTTGTCTAGGTTTGAGTATACCTTAAAGTTCCAGCCATTTGGTGAATATCCAGATCCTCTCTAGAGCATTTCTATCTTTGTCATACAGCCTTTTCAATGACAAAGCAGTTCTATTTCCACACTGATGATAGTGTTAGAAAACTCTCCTTTCACTAATACCAACAAAATCGGAGAAGACAAATAGGAATAATACATGACAGAAAGGAGAACCAAGATGAAAACTGTGTGTACAGGGTCACACACACACACACACACACACACACACAGGCACACATGCACATTGAAAGCCTCCAGATGATCCCACACATACACCTTGACAATCCACTGCTTTGTCATTATATAGTTATCTCTGCTGCAGAGCTTCTCCATGTTTATAGAAAGAGGATATGGTGTCCCACAAATCCATCAGGAATGATGTGTGCCAACTGACTCTACCCTCCAAACCAAGGTAGGAAAGAGCATACACAAGAGATATGAGAATGAAGCAAAAAGGTAGAGCATGAATCTTTGGTCTATTTAACAACCATTTTTAAGTATGTACTATTTTCAGGAAAGAAGAAAATGAGGTTCAGTTTCTACTCTTTTTGGGCCTCTAATTGGTTGATTGAGCAGGATAGACATGTAAACAGCTAACTCTAATATGTATTCTTAAAGAATTGCAAAAAAGGCCTTGTGGTTTTAATTGCTTATTGGACACCTGTTGGCATGTTAGATATTCCTAAGAAAACACAATAAAATTCTTAGGCATTCTGGGATGAGATGCCATAAATATATGCAGGGGTGGTGCATATACCCCAACAGTATCTTATGACCTGGATTAGGAAGGATTGGCTAACCAAGCGAGATCTGGGCTAACCGACACATCAGCCCCACCTTCAGGAGTTAAGGTCATCCTGGCAACAGGGTTGTTAATCTTACCTTTGAACTCCTAAGACATTGATTTTTCTAGAAGAATTTCATGAGAATCTTAGACTCAATCCAGGTTCTCCATATATGAACCCCAGTAAGATGTTGGGGAAAGGAAATAGGACTGACTTGACTACTGCTCACAGACTGTGGAGGACTGGAGTTCACTCTGACAGCCCCTCTGAAGTTAGTGAGGCAACTTTACCATACAGTCAAAGTTCAGGGGAGTTCTTTCCAACTCTGCCCTGCCCACTCTGTAGCTGGCTTCCCGGAGCCTGCCTGCATGTGTGCATGTTCCTCTCACACACTGTGGTGCACAATGAGAGCTGCAAAGAATTCAGACCTGCCTCCATCTTAGAGGACTGCTGGGGGCCAGTAGGTGGGAGGCGATCTCAGCAAACTGCCAGCAGGCACGAAGTGAGTTTGTCCCTTTTCTTATTCTTCCTGGAACTTCAGGCTGTTCTGTGAATACCCAGGATCTAGGGTACATCTGTTCCTTACATTACAAGACACAGACATGGGAAGAGAAGTTAACAAAGACAGTGCCCACAACCTCAGAAAGAGTTTCCAGTATCTTCATCCTCTCCCCTTTGATCCTGTTACTTGTATTGTATAAAGCTAGTTCTAAAAGTTCTAATACCCTAGCTTCTTAATTCACCAAAAGAACAAAATCTCCCCATTATTGATAGATACAAAGATCTCCTATTTGTGCCTTTGAAGCTATATTATTTAAACATCATGTTGAAAATAAATTCAAACATCATGTTGAAAATAAATTCAAACTTTATTGTAGAAGATTCTCATGTGCA